CAAGATGTCACATCACATAAATGTATCATGAGATTTGCAACTTTTATAAAGAAAACCAATATAAAATTAAAATTTTCTGAATAACGTACAGATGGATAAGTGTGACAGTTCCAATTTCATGATGCAAAAAAATGAACTTTAAGTTTTGACAAAGCTGCAACATAATTTCATGTACATAACTTATAATATAAATAAGTAGCACAAATCTTATAACTTTTAACACATAAATTAAATATCAATAATAATCATCGTCATCATCCTGTTCATCATTGAACTGATCTTGACTGTTTAATTCATTGTTTATTTCAGCAATGAGAGAAGTAGTTCCTTGATCAACTTCATCTTGATTTCGTCTAAAATATAGGATGAAGAAGAAATCTGGAACAATTAGATTAATAAAAAAAAAATTGTAAAAATATTATAAAAAAAATATTTAGTGTGTTTTTTTTATATATATTCTAAAAAAATTATAAAAAAAGTTAAATATTGTAATATATATTCTAAAAATTATAAAAAATAAATTCAATACTTATATATATGTATCTCCTAAAAAAATATAAAAAAATAAATTAAAATTTTTAGTACATATCCTAAAAAATTATTAAAAAAATAAATTAAATATTTCAGTATATGCCCTAAAATATTATAAAAAAAAATTAAATATTTTAATATAGATTGTAAAAACAGTTATAAAAAAATTAATTAAATACTTTAATATACATTCTAAAACAAAAAGAATCAAAAAATAAATTAAATATTTAATTTATATTAAAAAAAATCATAGAAAAATATAAATGAAATATTTTTAAGTATATATATAAAATATATTTGTATGAGAAAAAATAATTGTTTCAGTTTTTATTCTTTTTCCAAAAAGGATGTCCGTTATATAGATATGCCTTTTTTGTTGGTACCATATATGTGGATAGACGGCCTCTCCACTGGACGCGACATCACGTACGTCACACGAACTAGTGATGAACGCATCGGTACATCACAGTACGCGTTATGTCACTCGTGACACTAGGTGCACCAATGCGCACACGCGTACCGTACCCCGTACCAATAGCGCACATGCTGACTTGGGATGGAATATCAAACACTATTACACATGAGTTCTCGAAATGGTCTCATTTATACCTCATTTGGTAGGCCTCTACGAGTTATGTATACAGTAAAAAAATCACGATCTTTTGACCTTCCATTGGAGAAAAACAAGCGTCACAAATTTAGCCTTGTTATAATACCCTCAAAATGCACATCATTTTGTGATCCACATTTTTTCAACATTAGAAGGACTAAAATTAATTTCAATTATATATTCTTGTTCCTGCTCACTTGGCGCATCTAGCCATATGCCATTTTCTAGTAATCAATGGTCTAATAAAGAGATCCCCTGGACACACTGAAACATATATCTAAAATGTCGAATAGGGGAAAATCCTTTAAACCGAATTCCCGCATCCGGTGATCTTGTGGATTTTGTAGAGCAGACTTGACTCTATCAGATCCTATTATTGAAGTCTTTTGGCCAATGGCTAATAGTTGAAATATAACTGTCAACTTTCTTCCCAAAATTACAGGTAATCTAGACACATTTCTTTTTTTATTCCTTATAGTGAAAGAACGTTGCATAATAGAGGAATCCAATACAAATTGGAAATTCAATCATTTAGTGTCATATCCCAACTTACGATGCTTTGAATTGTACATAAAGGGCTTATTTATGTTAGGTCTATATTGATCTTATATTTACACATTGAAATGAAAGTTGCACTGATCGTGAGTAACTTTTACAGAAAGTTGCTGATGATTTCATCGTTATAGGATAGTTTCAGCTGATGTATAGTGTACTGTACAGAGCTTGGCCAGTCCTGTAGGGAGTGTGAGTGTGGGTGTGGGTGTGTGTGGGTGTGGGTGTGTGTGGGTGTGGGTGTATATCTCCATCGATACACATCCACACCCCACACCCACACCCACCCAGACCCCACACCCACACCCACCCACACGCCACACCCACACCCACACCCACCCACACCCCACACCCCACCCACACCCACCCACACCCACACCACCCACACCCACGTCATCGACACCGGTAATATCAACACCATCAACAACAACAACATCCAGCACACGGAATGTGGGCTGGACATGATGATGGAGGTGGTTGATTTTATTGAACAATTATGGGCCTACGAAGAGGCCGAAGAAGCTGTGCGTAATGGACAAGCTCTTCAAGATTTTTTTGAAGAAGTTCAAGATTTACAATTGGAAGAACTCTTGAATGATTTTTTTTTGTAAATTGTTGTTCATAGGACAGTAAAATTTATGAAATTTGTATGTGTGTGCTAGAAAGCTTTGAAATAAATGAAATACTTTTTTTTTATGACTGAATTCTAAATTTTCATTCTTCGCCGTAGAAGCCTGCAATAGATTAATCAATACGAAATTCCTAACACTTTTGTTTTATTTTTGAAAAATTTGAAGTAAATAAGGGGGGGGGGGTAGGGGTAAGGATGAAAAATGATCACGTGATATGCGTACAGCTCTAGCATTCAGGGAGTGAATGTGATGATATAAGACATGCTTAACACTGAATATCCTATTGTATGTGTGTCAAAAAAAGGGAACTCCGCATGCAAACTGCAAATTTCGAGCTCACCTAAGCATTCCGATTTTACCAATAACATCCAGTCGACGTTTTATGGTTTATTCAAGCATGACCCCGTTTGACTGACATACCAGTCTCAGTTATATCTGATGTTCGATAGATACTGTACCTGGAATGCCTGTGGCATCCTCTGTGATGCTTGTGTCATTGTCTGGGATGCTTGTTTCATCATCTGGGGCGCTTGTGGCATCAACTGGGATGCTTGTGGCTTCATCTGGGATATGTGCGGCGCCATGAGTGTGGGTGTGGGTGTGGGTGTGAGTGTGGGTGTGGGTATGGGTGTGGGTGAGTGCGGGTAAGCAGAATAAACTATACCAATACCCACACCGACATGCACCCACACCCACACCCCACCCACACCCACATCCACACCCACACCCACCCACACCCACACCCACACCCCCACCCACACCCACACCCACACCCACACCCAGAAATGACTAGAATTTTTAAGACCTTGTGGGTGTGGGTGTGTGGTTGTGGGCGTAGTCGAAGAGAGCATCTACCTCTACACCCACACACGCACACCCACACCACACACCCACCCCGCACACCACATCCACACCCTTTGTTATAGAGGAAGTATTTTTTCAATAAGAACTTTACGTTGATTATTTCATAAATATTCAAGATGACACAAGAAAATTTTATTGAATATAAATAGGATAAAGTATGGGATCAACAAGATCAAAACCTCCACCATTAAATATTGGAATAAGTGTTGTTTGAGGGCCATTTTTAACACGAGTTATTGTTAATGTTTGTCTTTCTTGAAAATTGTTAATATTGAAAGAAAGTTGTTTTGGTGTCCATGTAAAACAATCATTACATTCCGATGGTTTCCATTGAATAGTAACAGTATCATTTCCATTTATTCGATGTGGAGGAGTTATTAGCAACACTTGAATTTGTGCACTTTGATTTAAATCTATTTTAGTTGTTTGAGGATAATATAAAAGGCCAAGCATAACATCTCGGCATATAGAAGTCCAATTGCTTGGAACTGAATCAAAATATTTCTCATCTGGTTTTCCCATTGATATTATCTTATAATTAGTGGTTTGTTGAACAACTTTCCACCCTTGACGAACAACTCGAATTGATCTAAGAGGAATTTGTGTATTTTTTTCAAAATAAATTTCTTCA